TTCTCTCAGCAGGAGCCCTGGTGGCGCGGTGCTTACGTGCTGGGCTGCCAACTGTAAGGCCAGCGGTCTGAAAACACCAGCGGCTCCCTGGGAGAAGGGCCGGGCTTTCTAGTCACATATAGATGTGTAGTCTATAGGAAAATCAGAGGGGGCCTTTCTAGCGGGTCCGATAGGGTGGCTGTGAGTTGGCATCCACACGGTGGCAGTGGGCTTGGTTTCTGGTTTGGCCTTCCCTTGTGGTCGTTCCCCTGGCACCCTCTAGCTCCTGCTACCCAGGCCATCCTTTGAGGGGTTTGGGAGTCGAAACAACGGCATTCTGTCTTTCCCCCCCATCAAGGGAGCCACTTCTATGGGTGAGTCAGGGCAGAGAGGGTTGTTGAGACGAGGGGGTGATTGTCTATCAACTTCAGAGGTTGATCAACGAAGTGATTACTATATATTTTTAGAGCACGTTGTTGGCGGTAGGTGCTGTTGACCCCACATGGTGGCCCAGAACTGTGCCTGGGGACACTCTCTCGTTTCCCCCAAGCCTCAGTGTTCTCATTGCCCATGGGGATTGCCGAGGGTGCTGACATTTGAGAGACAACGGATGCACAAGCACGTGCGCTCCTGAGAGACAGGGAGTTGGCTGCTATTCATAGACAAGGTCACGGCATTCGGTGTCTGTGGCCCTTGAAGAAAATTGAAGTTATTTGTAATTCTCCATTTGGACATACCTTCTCTATTTCCATCTTTCCCCTGGGAGATCTCTGAAGAAGGGAGTGTGAAGACAATGTAATCAATAGCTCCATAGGGCAGTCACCACCGAGCACTTTTGCAGAGGACACAAGTCCATCAGTAAGGGAGAGCTTGATTTCACCTGCTTGGAAGGTCTACATGAATAAAGTAATTTCAATTTTGTGTCTCCTCACAGGGTGTGTGGGATTTTGACCTGAAATGTTCTAAAAAGTTTGGAAAATTATGGGGGTGAGTATTCTGGAAACGTCCATTGGATACACTTGTGGAGAAGTACTTGGTGTGGGGCACACTCTCAGCCCAGAGCCTTGGAGGATGAATGAGCTTGTGTGCAGCTCTTGGAGACTCATCCTGCCTACGATCCGCATGACTCCAGGTGTCAAAATCGGCAGCAGTGTTTCCCAAGGTGGGAGATTCAGTGCGTAGCCCACAATACTGCCTCTGCTCCTGGAGTTCAATGTACAACATACCTCAATTCCCTGGGTTATTTCACAAACAGTGATTGTAGTGGCCAGTAGGGCAGCCCGACTTGGACAGGAGACCTAGCTTTGTGTGACTCGTGTCAAAAGTAGGATTTACCTGCTTCTCCGATGCCCTCAATGCGGTTCTGAGGCCCCATTAGGGTTCACATGTAAGGATAAGTGAACCTAGTCAAAAGAAATGTTATTAAAAATGAATGATAACCTCTTATATAACTCTATATACCTTGCTATATTTCTTTCAAATTTTTCTAGTTCTCCTGGGGGCAAAGATGTCTCTTTAATAATAATGAAAAGAATAAAAGAACGCTGTGGAAGGACAAGACAATTCTTAAAAACGAGGCAAAAAGTCTTGCATAATTCAATCATCATACTTTGAGCATTCCACATCCTTTTCTGTGTGCACATACATTGTTGCATTTTGTGGTCAGTGTGTCTATAATCTATTTCATATTTATTACAATTTTTGAGATATCTTCAAAGTAGTAAATTTGATGATGGAGTGAATGGACTTTTATTCACAAGAAATATTTCTCTCAGATTACCTGCCTTCCATTTTCACTAGGCTAATGCCTTTTCAGAAAGGAAACATTTTAAACATTACAAAATGTCAAGGAACAATATGGGATCTAGTCATCTGTCCGCCAACTTTCTGCAACATGTGTTTTCATGTTCTGGCTCCTCGTTTTTAGGCAGAACATGATCTGTTTTAAGAGCTGAAGACATGAAGACATATATGTACATGCACATTAGAACGTGTGCTTTGCTATCTGTTTCAAGAGCCGCTTGGTCTGTAACGGTCTCTCACCTGTCTGAACGAGAGTATCCTTCATCTTATTTGAGCATAGTGGCTTCTGTCACCAGCCTTGAACTAAAGCGAAACCCTGCTGTGGGTTGGAGCCCTAGGAGTTTGGACTTTGCAATATCAGGATGAGTCGAGGGTCCCCTGCGTGGGCTCCAGCTGCAGAGTTGAGTCTGATCAGATTAAGCAGCTCCGTCTCCTGACACAGGTTTTACGACGGTCAGCAGCCTGTGATAGCCATCACAGACCCAGCCATGATCAAGACCATAATGGTGAAGGAGTGTTATTCCGTCTTCACAAACCGGAGGGTAGGTAGCAAGTTCTTTCCTTTATTATTCTTTTCCACTTAACATTCTAAAATTTCAAGCATGATCGATTCACAGGAAGTGTGGGGAAATCACAACTACAACCCCCAAACTCAACAAAACCTCAAAGCACAGGCTCACGGATGGTTCATCCTGTTTCTCTGCAGCTTACCATCTTATAAGGTGTGACATCAGCCAGTGGAGGGACCTGGACGCAGTGCATAGGGCTTATTTGGATCTCATCAGTTTCATGTGCAATCACTTGCACGCACACGCGTGTGAGTGTGTCTGTGTGTGCATGCCCGGCTTTGTTCAAGTTTATGAGAGGTGACCACCAGCACACTGAAACCTAGCACGGCCCCCTCACCTTGTGGCCTCTCTTTGCTGTTCTTTTATGGCAACAGCCGGTAGCTTGCCCGCGACTCTTAAGGGGGTCTTTAGCTGAACAACCAGTTACTCTTATTTTTAAGTCCAATGAATTTTTTCCCTTTTATGGACTGTACTTTTGATGGCAAGTCTGAAAACTGCCTACAACCAGCTCCTACAACTTTCCCTCTTTTTTTCTTCTTCTCCTTTTCATCCTCCTTCTTTTACTTCTCTTTCCAATCATTCTCCTTCCTTAATTTTTATTGGAAAAGATGGTTTTTCTTTGTTTTGCACTTAGGTTTAAGCCCATGATTCACTTCAAGGAAATTTTGGTATAAACTGTGAAGTTCTGGACAAGGTTTAATATTTTATCTGTGGTCCAATTGCTTTGGCTCCATTTGTGGGATAGGTTATCTTTCCTCCATGGAATTGATTTTACACTATGGTGAAACAAAATCTGTAGTGTTTATCTGTCTGGACCTATTTCTTGTTCTCTATTTGATTCCATCAGCCTGTGAGTCTGTCTCTCCACCAATAGTGCACAGTTGCTTACTGTAGCGATGTAGTAAAGCCTAACATCTTGTAGAGTTATTCTTCCTGTTTCTCAATGCATTTTCAAATTGTTTTTAGCCATTGTGAGTTCTTTGCTTTCTATACAAAATTACAAGCTATTCTATAGCTTCAAAAAATCTTTGCTGGAATTTTGATAAGAACTAATTAATTAACATCTTTACTATGTTGAGTTTTCCCATCCATCAACACAGTAATTCCCCAAACCCAAACATCTATCCATCCAGTTGATTCCAACTCACTGCGATCCTACAGGACAGGTTAGCACTGCCCTCGTGGGCTTCTGAGCATGTTAACCCTGCATGGGAGGAGAAAGCTTCATATTTCTCCTACAGAGAGGCTGGTGGGTTTGAACTGCTTAACTTGTGGTTAGCAACCCGATGCATAACCACTATGCCACCTGTGCTCCTGAGCACAGTAATTAGGTTTGATTCATTTAGCTTGTTTTGATTCCTCTCATCAACATTTTGTAGGCTTCAGTGTACATATCATATCCATGCTTCCTGAGATTTATAATCGATAAGTTGTCATTGTGCTGACTCTGATAACCCCATGTGTGTCGCAGTGGAGTTGGGCTCCTGAAGGTTTGAGATGGGTAATTTTGAGATGCAGAACACAGGCCATTCTTTGAAGGTGCTTCTGGGTGTCCACGAACATCCATCCTCGTGATCAGCAGCCAAGCATTTTAGATTTATAATTATGTATTTCATTTTAAGTTCATTGGTAATGATATTGCTTCCTTAATTTCCATATGTTCACTGTTAGTAAATAAAAATATGAGACATTCACATGTCAGTCTGCTACTGTCAGCTTGTTGAATGCACTTGTTAGTTCTGAGTGTTATGTTTAGTTTTTTTTTGCATATTCTTGAGATTGTTTATGTCAACAATGCATCTTCTAAAAACGGAGCCAGTTCTACTTTTTCTTTTTCAATCTGTATGTCTTTTATTATTTTTCTTTGTCTTATTGCACCAGCTAACACAGCGTGTATGATGCTGAATAAGACTGACGGGACTGAACATTTTTTCTTGGTCTCAATCTGTGGGAGTAAGCTGTCAGTCTTTCACTGTTAAGTGTGATGTCAGCACAGTTATTCTGATGATTACTTTGGAGATTCTCTTTCTCCAATCAAGGACGTTGTCCTTGGATTGTGGTTGTGGAGAGTTAAGTTTTGAATTATGGATGGGCTCTTTCTGTTTTCCTCCATGAATATCATCCATGAACAAGTCTGATGTTAGAGAAATGGGGACGTTTTCAAGTCGTGTTTCTTGACTGGTCAGCCTGAGCCGCGGAACAGAATGAGCTTCTTTTTTCTGTCCGTTCCTAGAACAGACGGAAGGAACACTTTCTTTGTTTTTGTCCCAGAAAAGCAAATGGATTTCTGCTTTTTAAAGCATGAATTACAATTGGCAAAAATTACCTCTTACAGGGCATCTCCATTGCTCATGCCATAGATACACGTACATGAAGACGGATGTGTCTGACCCGGCGTCACCGGGCTCTACCAGCAGTCTCTTTTAGTCCTCTGGTGGATGCAGGGACGTAGTAGGTCTTGTTTCTTTGCATTCCTTTGGACAAAGAATTTTTCTACATTTGGGCGTTGGCACTGTCAAGGGGAATTGAGAAATAAAAGTTGGAAACCACATCAGTGACTGGGTGTTGATCTTCACAGGTGTCATTAGAATAATACTTGACTACATGTGTATTCATTGGCTTGCCACCTTGTAGGCAGTCACCAAGTATTCCCTGATTAACTGACACTTGCTTGGGGAGACATCTAGGACTTACGTAGGACCAACGCCCTTTCCCTTTGCATTCCAGCCTTTTGGTCCCGTGGGATTCATGAAGTCTGCCATTTCTGTGGCCGAGGATGATGAGTGGAAGAGAATGAGAACGTTATTATCCCCAACTTTCACCAGTGGAAAGCTCAAGGAGGTAAAAGAAATGAAAGAAGAAGACTGTTCATTAGAAAGCCAAGGAGCCACTGTGGGGTCTGGTGTGAAGGAAGGCTGGTCAGCTTAAGCTCCTTAGAAATGGTCTTTCATCTGTCTGCCCCAGAGAGGGATGATCGATTTCACGAGAAAGTGCCACTTCTTGCTCTTGCTTGGCAGCCCAGGTATTCCTAGATCTTCGCTCTCCCTATTGACCTTTGGGTGTTGGTGTGTTTTGTGTTCAGATGTTCCCCATCATAGGCCAGTATGGAGACATGTTGGTGAAGCATCTGAGAGAGGAGGCAGAGAGGGGCAAGCCTGTTCCATTGAAAAGGTAAGAAAATCATGGCTGGGATTCTGAGCTCTGTCACAAGGGCCATCAAGTGCCAGCCACTGAATTGAAATTCTCAAAGTTGGGTTACTCTGGTGGTCAAGCAAGCATGGTGTGGGGTGGGGAATCTCCAAAGGGCTACCCAGGATGGGTGGTTCACAGTAACTAGTAGCGCAGTCAGGGAAAAGCATCCTCCCAGCCTGTGCTTGAGCCTGCATCAATTTATCTCCTTAATGGTCAACTGGCCTTTTCTAGAGCACACACGTGAAATGTCGAGAAAGGAGAAATGTGACGGATAGCACTGAGATGTTGAGTGTACGTGACATAGGATGTGGGAAGTAGGCAGGTATTTGATGCTTATGGACTGGCCATGGCTGAAGCTAGAAAGCTCAAATGTAGAACTTGGGACAACCTAAACCTGGCCATGTTTTTGCTAAGGACACCAGAGAAGTACAACCTGATATTTCTCTGTGGACATAGACATGGTGGGGGAAGACCAATGCAGGGTCCCTTTTGGAAGCAGCAGTCAAGAAATCCAACGACAAACATGCTGCACGAGACCTTAAGGTGCTGCCGAGTCAGGCCGTCATTCTGAGGAGTAAGATGCACCGGACCTCAGCCATGGCATGTTCAACGGCCTCGTAGGCATGTGAATGGTAGACCATGAGTAAGGAACACCAAAGAAGGACGGATGCACTTGAATGGCGATGTTGGCAAAGAACACTGACAATACTATGGCCTGCCAGAGGAACAAACAAATCTGTCTTGGTGAAGTTGAGCCAGAATATTCCTTAGCAGAGATGGTGAGACTTCATCTGAAATGCTTTGGACGGTGTTCCCGGAAGTAGAAATCATGCTCGGTAAAGTAGAGGGTTATTGAGAGAGAGGAAGACCCTCAATGAGATCGCTTGGCACATCGATGGGCTCTAACGTGATGCCAATGGTGAGAATGGCACAGGGCCAGGCAGCGCTTTATCCTGTTTCCCACGGGGCGGACATGAGTTCCAAGGACTCCATGACAGCGACAATGACCGCATCCTGTCCTGTCCCCGCTCTGTTCTCCACACCCACCATCTCCCATACCCAGCACTCCCTGCTGTCGTCGCCACTGTGACAGCTACCACACACTCAGGTCCTATCCCCAGGTGTGCTCTGAGGTGGGTCGAAGGCACCTCCCTGTCCCCTTCAGCCCTGATGGCCCAGGAGCAGTGGGCATCGTCATCTGATCGATGCCTCCTGAGTGAATGGGATGGGCACTAGCCTCGCAGCTGCTTCGGCAGATGACTCTGAAAGTTCGTTACTCCCAAGAATAAGCGTGTCTCTATTTCTTGCTGAATGCCTTAAGAGGTATGTTGAAGAGCTGCTTTACAATGTCCTTGTCTTTCCCCCGTGTTAGCATCTTTGGGGCCTACAGCATGGACGTCATCACCAGCACATCCTTCGGCGTGAACATCGACTCCCTCAACAACCCAGAGGATGCCTTTGTGCAAAAAGTCAGGAAGCTCATAAAATTTGATTTCTTGGATCCAATGCTTCTCTCAATAAGTACGTTCACTACTACTTTTTAATAACCTCTTTAATAATAATATATGCAATAATAATAATATATGAGTATACATTATTAAATATCAATTGCACCTCTTTACAATCGACTTAAACCATAGAATTGTATGGTTTATGAATTCTATGACCACAAAAATGCAAACAATTTTTAAAAGAAAAAAATGAGAACCGCTGTTTGGTTTTATTTATTTTCCCTCTTGCTTTTTAAAAAATCATCTATTGCATTATTTTTTTAATCCTATCTTTATGAGAAGGAATCCTGGTGGTGAAGCTGCTCTGTTAAATTCAAGGTCAGCAGTTCAAATGCATCTGCCACTCTCTGGGAGAAAGGGGAGGTTGTAACTCCATGTAGACTTCTGATCTTGGGAAGCCACAGGACAGTTCTCTGTCCTGCAGGGCCATGCCGAGTCAGGATCTGCTTGATGGAAGTGAGGGTCATGCTCACGATGTCCTTTCTTCTACTTCTTCTAACGAGTATTTTGCTCTTCTCCAGAGTCTTCGGGTAGAAGATTAGGCTGTGGACTTGAGATCTTTCTAATTTTTATTTTGAAAAATAGACACCCACAGCCACAGAGAATGGAGATTTTATGACTCTTCACATTTCCCCTCATTTGTTCAATTCTAATTTTAGACTCTGCATTATTTTACTATTCACATTCGAAAAGGGTGATGTATTAAAGAAGCAGGCTATGGTCTGGTTTACCCAAGAGACCCTTGTCCAGTTGATAATAGAAAGTAGGCAGAGTCTGGGGTCATGGGAGGGAAGTAGGTGGGGGTTGGGGGAGGTGAAGGAGAGCCAGTAATGACGGGTACAGGGCAATAGAAAGTGTTCTAAAATTGATGGCAAGGAGGGTAGAGCCTTTCTGGTCTTGCTTGATCCATCCAACTATTGGAGAGGAATTAATGAGAGGTGAATTATGGGTAAACATGATATGGGGGCCGGAGGGAAAAAAAAGGGGAAAGAAGGGGGAAATATATATGTAAATATATGTGTACTTGTTTCTATGTATATATATGCTAATGCAACAAGAAAGCAGATGAACTTTGGGCCTCTGCTTAAATATTACCTCAGTACAAGAATGGTGCTTTCTAATAAAGTGGCATTGTATGACGCTCGCCTGCCCGACACAATCACTGAAGACAAAATGGGTGCATAGGCAAATGTGGTGAAGAAAGTCGATGGTGCCCGGCTATTAAGAGATACAGTGTCTGGGGTCTTGAAGGCTTGCAGTTAAATAAGCGGCCATCCAGTAGGGATGGAACAAAGCCCACATGGAAGAAGCATAAGGAAGAAGTGTGATCATGAGGTGCCGATGGGAAGAGGTATCAGAAGTTCAAAAACAAGCAACCAAATCGATGTGAAGGGGCGTGGATGTAGTGGAGACCCAAAACTCACCTGCAAGTTAACTGGACAGTCCTCTCAGAAGGGCCACATGGAAGGGATGATAGTAAAGCACCGATGAAACACAAAACTCTCCTCTAGTTCTTTACCATTTCCTCCCCTTACTATTATGGTTTTTATTTGTTTTATCTCATTAATCATGTTCGCCTTACATATGTTAATTTGTATAGCTAAGGTCGTTTGATGCATGAAAGCCAAGATCGATCGATAACCCTTCAGAAATGGAAACAAGAGTAATGGTTCCCTGAGGGTATGGGAAGAGGTGGGGGCTGGGGGATAGGGAGCTGATAACATTGCAGGAACGAATAACAACATTGTATGTGAATGGATATATTAGTTTGTGTAAGATATGACCAAAAAAAAAAAAAGCATTCCTGGCGGATAGGGTGGATTGGGGAGAGAATAAAGGGAGCTGACATGAAGGAGTTTAAGAAGAGAGAAAACGTTCTGAAACCGATTGTGGTAGCAATCATACAACACTGCTTGATGTGTGTGATTGAATATGGAATCTCATGGTGGCTGAAAGAGCTGCCAAGTGACAAAAGAGAGAAAGAAAGAGGCCAGCACCATCAATCCCGGGCCTTTGGTCAGTGGCACAGTGAGGAAGGTGCCACTGTCCTCGGCCACCTTCCCTGAGCCCCGTGTGAGGACCCGAGAAGGGATGGGAGAGAGAACTTGTTCTCTGTGCTTGAGGGAACGAGGGATGCTGGCTCTAGAAAAATGTGCATTTTCACAGTGAGCTCTTTTTCTCTCCTTCCCAACAGTAATCTTTCCATTCCTTACTCCCATTTTTGAGGCATTAAATATTTCTATGTTCCCGAAAGATGTTACTGATTTTTTCAAAAAATCTGTACAGAAAATGAAAGAACGCCGCCTGGGGGATCGTCAAAAGGTAAGAGCGGTGGTGGTTATTCAGGAGTGTTTGTGTTCGATCTTTCATGATACTGAACTACATCTCCGACCCACGCATCTTTCTACAGTAGAATGAGCTATGTAGAGAACTGTACTGTCCAGAGCAAGTTTCTATTTTGAGGGGGATGGAGAATGTGGAGACAGTGGAAGGGATAAAGACTGGATCACGGAGCAGGGTTTAGCTTTCCATAATGGGCTTTGGTGTACATACATTTGCTGTTAGTTGGCACCTAGCAACGACGACCGCGATTATGATTCATTTACAATTCTCCTTCTTTTCTAGCACAGGATCAAGTGATAAAAAATCTCACTCAAATGCTTATTTGCTTTTATTGCTAGTCCTCCATGTATTGAATGGTAAATGGTATTTTTGACCCCAAGCCTTATGTGCTACACATTCTTCTATGGAAGACACCTGAGGCTACCTGGTAGAAGATCCCTCATGTAAACGTTCAGCCCGTTCATAGTCAATGAGTGTAAGGCTCTTCTCTGGGCATTAAGGCAGCAAAATGGATGACGTAGGTTTGTCTTCATGAGCTCAGAGACCTGCAGGTGAGGGGACCAGGCCTGCGTATCTCAGGGGGTCCTTGATGATTGTGCAGTGTTCTGGGGGGGTCGGGTATGGGCTGATGCTCACAAAGAGCAGCACATGAGCTTTGGAAAGTCAGTATTTGATCTGTGTCGTCATGGCTCCTAAGAAGACAGGTCTGCCTAAGCGAGGGTTCCGGGGCTGGGCGGGGAGCAGAGAACAGAGAGACGGAAGCAAGGTCCTGTTCTCCTTGATCAAGATGGCATGGCAGAAGGGGCAGGCCACTCTTTGCCCAGGAAGTTTTGGGCAAAAGCCGAGGGACCCAGGGATCAGGGAGGACAAGGTCCCCACGGCAGTGAGCTGTGACCCCCAGGGAATCAATCGTCTTGCTCTGCAAGATGAGGAGGGGGAAGTGCCTGTTCTTTGGCGCCTCATCCGGCATCGACCCATAACCGCAGCACAGGGCTGATCCCGGGACTGAAGGGGCCGTGTTCTCAGGAAAGAGATCAAGCACTGCACGCCCTTTCTGACGTGAACACTTCTCTGTCTGCCGCCAGCACCGAGTGGACTTCCTTCAGCTGATGATCGACTCCCAGAATTCCAAAGGAGCCTCCGCCCATAAAGGTAAAGATTGACGGGTGGGATGCAGGGAGCTCAGAGGAAGAACATTTTAATTTTTAAAAATTAATTAATTAAACAAATCATTTTGTTGGGGGCTATGACAGCTCTTATCACAATCCATCCATCCAACCATTGTGCCAAGCACATTTGTATGTAGATTGCCATCATAATTAAAAAAAATTTTTTTTCTGCTTGAGCCCTTGGTATCAGCACATGTCCCCCCACTTTCCCTACCCCATGCAGGAAGTTTTCAAAGTGCAAATCCTGACTCATGGTCGGTGGCTGACCCTTCAGGGAGCAGAGAGCCACCCAGTCGGGTTTCTGAGGCCGCACATCCTGACAGGGGGACTTTCTCCTGCTGAGAGGGTGGGGGTTCGAACTGCTGACCTGCAGGTAGGAGCCCAACGCAGAGTCCGCTCTGGAAGCAGGACCCTGCAAGCACCGGCGAACGTCTGCTCCCCTGAAGGAAGCGGCCCGTCCCCATGCACCCACAGGGGTCAGAGGTGCTCGCTCCAGGCAGGTGGACACACGGGGGCCTTTGATCAAACATCCTTCCAAGGGCAGCCATCCCAAAAGCAGTTTGTGCACCGCCGTCAGGCCTCATCACTCCAGGAAGCGCAATGTCTCAACGTTAGTGAAACCGACTTGGGACTCTTGGTTAGTGCGGGTATTCTTAGGGTATTCTTGCACTATTGTGGTTTATTCTGATGTTCATGCTGCTTCAAATGTGTTCAGTGGAAACTCTCAAAATGCTTCCTGCACCCCGTCCACATGGCAATCCTTTTCTGAGTCCGTCCTTTCTTCTGGACCATTTCACCTTTTAACCCTGAATCCAGTAGTTCCTCCAGGGACCCTCAGGCGCTTTTGCTAGGGAATGGTAATTAGAAACTAAAATCGAGGAGTTCGGTGTGCTCAGTGCTACTAGGGTATCTTTGCCCTTAGATTTTCTAATGGACAAAATTAAGAAAATAAAATATATCGACACAGAACTAAGCAATATAGACATCGATCCATATGCAAACATAGAACTGGCACGCCCCTCTCCGTGATTTGGGCTCTATTTCATGACCCATGTCGAAGGACGAGCTTGTCTGATCGCGTAAAGAGGTGTGCCCTCTGAAAACCACAGAGACACTTTTACTCTGTTCTGTGCTGTTGCCGTGAGCTGGAATTGACTGGATGGCCGTGATTCTGTTTTTTTTCCAGCCCATGACAGAAATCCTGCCACGATGGTCAATTTCAAAGTACAAAGGGCTTGACAGTTAACAAAACTCATGACTATTTAAGAACCGTCTAGCGATCACAGATGAGCGGGCTCAAGCACATCGCTGTGAACTAACCTATGCCTACGTCTGTATCTGCCAGTTCTCTAGTTATCCCAGCTATTAGCGATAACTGTCACTCGCCTATCAGTTATCTATGTAGTGATATCTCTGTACCTCTCTTCTCTCTAGCATCTACGTGGTCCAAAGAAGTTTCAGAGATGATTGAAATCATCTCTATCCGCACTATTGAATACAGTAGCCAGTAGACCCAGATGCCTGTTTATTACTTGACATGTCTGCAGTGCCACTGAAGAACTGTATCTTACATTTTCTTAAGTTTAATTAACTTCAATGAACATTCCAATAGCGACCGATGACTAACAGTTACCATAGTATAAAACTGATTTTTACACCTTGAGTTTGCACTCCAACTGCATTTCAATACCATGGCTTTACTCCCAAGAGGAGGAAAGTATTTGAGCATGGTATTTGCTCAGCAACAGCATTGGGAAGTCAGAGCCCTGTAGAGCTTATTGGCATCCACTGTATTCACACGGAGAGATGTACATATGGTGAACGACGTGGCGAGGGCAGGTGCATGTCCATCTCTGCTCCAGATCTTATCTCGTCTTGGTCACCACTCGAGAGCTTGACTCTGCTCAGCATCTCTTAGGGGACACACCACGATGGGGACCGCTCCAACCACAGGAGCTGTTTGGGTCACATGAATAGAGCAGCTTGAGGGAGGACACCCCGGGGACACTGCATGGCCAGTTATAGTCCTCAGATTTTATAGTTCCACCGCTCATGTGTGGCGGGTTCAGATAAATGGCAGCCACTACAATGTCTCGATAATTTAAAAGAGTCTTTATCCGGTTAGAACTGGACTGCTAGAACCTAAAAGCGATTCTTTGATTGCAGTCTCGAGTGGACATTTCAGTCCATATTTAAAGGCAAAAACTCATTTGTTATTTGTCTAGGACTTCAGCAAGTTTGAGCAGAAGCAGAAAGCAAAATTAATGCTATAATTTTTTAGAGTTAATGACTGTTACAGGGTACAGCATTGATGATAATATCCTGGTTAATAAAATAAAAATAGTAACATCCCGGCTACCACATCAAAAGGAACAACATTATTAATGACAATGTTCTGATCTCAAGAACATAAGAGTACATTCTAAAACCAATCCCTAGTGGGCCTTTCTGAGATGGGAGGGGGAAGGAGGCATATCACTCCTCAGTCAACAAGATGGCGTTACAGTGGCTAGTGCTAATCTGTCTCACATGCAGGCTGACTATTGATGCATCCAGTCTTGTGCTATTTCAGTCTAGTTGATTCAATCGGGCTTTCACAATGTAAGGAGCAAAGTGGATAAGTCTCGCCTTTGTGGCTGGTAAGGTTAAGCATTAATCCACTCTCCAAGATCTGGTGATAGATTCATTGCTTATCTTCTCCTTTCTCTATCCTCACCACCCCCCAGTAACTTGGCGCCCTGTTCAAGCCCAGAGCTCGGATGTGAGTCAGAGCTGACAGGTTGGAAGCCCCGACCGTCTGTCAATGCAGCATTTCACTGGCCCTGGCCACCTCGAGGCAGGTTACAGCTCCTAAGGTAGAGGGAAATAACAGTCCGTGGGGCTCTCACTGCTCTGTGGTCTTGGCACTTTTCTGGAACGGTCCACACAATCTCATAAAGAGTATGCCGTTCTTATGACTAAAGGTCTGTTACAACCAAGGGCAGAAGATCAGGAATAGGATGGACCTGGGGAAGCCAGATTGAAAGCATTTCTTTTTCTTTCCTGCTCTGTCAGGTAGATGTCATAATGCAAACTGTTCCCTCACGGTGACCCCGAGTTTCTCTTCCGTGTTTCCACTTGAGGATTTTGGGATTTCCTTTGAATTTATCCTCATCTAAACTGTGATTTTATTTTCACATCACCGAGTCTTAACAAAGTGCTTTTATCCTCTTTCAGCGTTGACAGACCTGGAGCTCGTGGCTCAATCAATCATCTTTATTTTCGCGGGCTACGAGACCACCAGTACTGCCCTCTCCTTCGTCATGTACTTATTGGCCACCCACCCCGACTGTCAGCAGAAACTGCAGCAGGAGATCGACGAGGCTCTGCCCAGTAAGGTGAGTCCATGATGTGTGAAGAGGGACGATGACGGTGGGGTCCAAATAAGAAATCCTGCTCACCATTTATTGGGGCAAAATGATACCAAATGCAAATGAGGTGGCTTCAAGAACTTGTGGACATTTTTTCCCCTGGAGCTTTTTGAATCAGGTGTATATGTTGATTCTTTCGCTGCCATCTTGCAGCTGTGAGCTGGAACATGGAGACGTCATTATGCCCAGGCTGCGAATAAGAGCCCAAGCGCACACTGGCTCTCAAAATTCTTTGGCCCAAAATGGACTTTCTTCCCTTGAGGGAAGTGCTCACCTGTAAAGTTAATATAACTTGACTTCCTCTAACTGCAAATGGGCTGGGAAACGTGGGACACGATGTAGACCGTATTTCGTGAGTGGTGAATGTCTGCACACAAGCGAGGGACTAGAATCATCTACGTGAACCATATCAGAGAACGGAGTTGCAGAGAGAGCAGATACTGACCCTGGGGTCTGAGAACTAGTGGTGAACTAGCTCCTGAGCCCCAATCCTGACCTCTCCAATATCGTTTCTGAAATACAATGCTGAGTGATTGCCACAGACCACCCACACTGTTATTAGCAGCTGTCTGCGCACCAGGAATGCTTTATGCATGTAGCGGTAGAGTGGCTGGTCTGGAAATGAGTGAAACCCAAAGGGATTTCAGACTTTTCAGATAAACCCTGAAGCTACACATGGAAGACATCTCAGCAACAGAGGATGGGTTCATTGTAGGCTTTATTTTTATTTAGACTTTCTCTGGAGCTTACATGGTTCCCTGATACAAGCCAACCACATTCTTCTTTCATGTATTTGGGGTTGTTATGACTTGCTTCTCCAAAAATTATTTATGGAGTTTTATACAATATTGATTCCCTCTCCATATTGTCTTTCTCTCTCAATCTTCCTCCGTCTTCCTCTGTGGTTATCATCTATCAATCCATCCATTCATCCATCCATCTATACATATTTGTCTATCTATTCCACTCATTCACCCACCCATTCATTTATTAATAGTCTATAGGTGTTCATTTACATCATTATCTATCTTTATATCTACCTACCTACCTATCATCCATCCATTCTCCCATCCACTTTTTCTTGGTCTGTTTACCTATGTTGGTCACCACTTGTCTGTCAGTTTGTTGTAACGTATGTGGTGACTGCATGTTTCTGTGATGACGGAAGCTATGTTGCTGGTAATTTAAATGCCGGAAGGGTGACTCAGAGTGAATGGGTTTCAGTAGAGCTTTCAGAATAAGATCGGACTATGAAGAAGTAATTAGTACCTATTACATAGTAATAAGTAGTTGCTGAAACCCTTCTGCATAGCATGGAAACATTGTCAGATACCAAGGGCCTAACGAATGGCAGCAGAACATGTCAGAGATAAAGCCAGAGAATGGGCCTCTTGGCTTTGAAGGAACTCAAAATGTGACGGAAGAGGAGCTGATTTTCAAAGCAGAGTCCAACTTGGAGATGCAAATGGAATAAAGCCTGTGGGATCTCTATTTGCTGACGGGTCACAGCTCACAATGAGAAGAAGCATTGCAAAAAATCTACCAACTATCGGAACTTGGAAGGTACACAGTATGAATCTAGGAAAATTTGAAGTTGTCAAAATGAAATGAAACACGTTAAGATCAATATCCTTGGCATTATTGAGCTGAAATGAACTGCTTTTGGTCACCTTGAATCAGAAAATCCTACGGTTTACTATTCCAAGAATGTCACAATCAAGAGAAATGTTGTTGTATTCATTGTTAAAATGGGCATTTCAAGGTCTGTCTTAAAGTACAATGCTGTCTGTGATACGGTATCTGATTTAAAGGAAATCCAATCAGTAGAACTATTATGAAATTTCTTCACCAACCACTAAACTAGTAATGTTTACCTACCTGCTTACCCACTTATGTACCTCCCCCCCTCTCTCTTCTGTTTACTTATCTTCATATTTATTAAACTATTGAACTACCTAGCTTTCTATCTATGTACTATCACCATTATCTATTTATATTGGTTTTATATATATATATGATGTGTGTGTTTTAGTAAGCTGTATTTTTGAACGAAAAACCTTTATGTGAAATAGGGGCTTTATTTGTGGCAGTTTCCTTTTATCTTTGTGCACATATGTGGTCTTTTAATTTCTTTTTACAGAGCTCAATAACTCGCATATATCTTACCTGCAATAATGGACACAGTCTGTTAACCACATTTGTTAACAAATAAGAGAAAGCTCCCCGTGGGAAGGTTAGGGATCTCAGACCTGTTCATAGGACTTGATACCAGGGTGTCCCATATTCACAACTGGTCCACATATCTCAACATGTCACTGGGCACGTAGAGGACATGGTGGGAAGTGCCACGGCCCTTTACTAGCATTGGTTATTCGTTGGGGAGCCCGACTCTTCAGCACCATTGTCTAGGCTGCTTTGAGTCTCAACTTTTGGAACACGTTTTTCCTTCCAAGGCGCCCCCCAATTACGACGTTGTGAATCAGATGGAGTATCTTGACATGGTGGTGAATGAAACCCTGAGACTGTACCCGATCGCTGGCAGAATTGAGAGGGTCTGCAAGAAGGATGTGGAAGTGTGTGGACTGATGATTCCTAAGGGGACAGTGGTGATGGTGCCATCTTTTGCTCTTCAGCGAGACCCAGAATACTGGCCTGAGCCCGAGAAGTTCCTCCCTGAAAGGTACAGGATGCACCTGGGGAAAGGGACCATTGATGATCCAGGCTGGCGTGAGCACATTCTGATATTTATTTAGTGTTGCTGACAAACAATGATTTACTCAGATAGTCTTTTTTTAGACACTTTGTTCTTATTACAAAAATTATCTTTGCCTATCATAACAACTTTTATAAATCAGAGAGGAGAAAAGCAACAGCACAAACTGCATGCATCCAGAATCCCAGCACATTAACATAATCCTCATTATTAATCTGATGAACGTGTTAAGAATGTTTTTCTCTGCGTGTGTGGACTTAAGAATTAGAATGCTGTCATATTTTATTTGGTTCTGAACTGCCTATGAGCAGGCTTTAAACACTATCCTATACCACGACAGTTGTAAATAAAGCACATTTAAATTTCTTATAGACATATTCAAATATTTATTTGACCAGGTTCTTATTTATATATTTTTTCTTTATTTCTGGTTTGTCTGTGCTGTCCTCTTTAGCTCTGATTTTTCCATCAAATTTAGGGAGCATTTAAATAGTCTTAGAATTTTTGTATGTGTATACAATATAGAAATCCTCATCTATGATAGTCATTGTAGAAAGAGCAAATCCATGAAACAAAAGTCCTCTGTTTCCTTGAGCAAAGAGCTTCTCTGGTTCTCATAAGCTCCAAAGCTCCAATCTCTACGGCTGCCTATGTACAAATCAGAGCCCACTCACTTTTCTTCTCCTTTGGTCATTCAATCATCAAAGAAGTGTGACGTGCTAGCATGTGGTGCAGACTGTACCATACAGTGAGAGCTTCAAATGCGAGAACAAGACAAAACAGACCAACGCTGCAAATGATACAGAACTTTTGACATTTGAGCAAGTCTATACATGCTATTACTGTGCCCCTGCACTCATCAACAACCCCCCTACCCACCCCTCCACCCCCCAGACCATCAACCGTGGTTTCTGCTCCAGTTTTCTTGCGACCACTACCCTTCTCCTTGCTTTTATATTATTTTTAAGTACATCACACTATTTAACTTTGGAATGTTCTCTACATTAGAATATTTAGAACTATCTTATAATTGCTCTTAAGGTATTAGGACTCTTGAGGGAAAACCTTCCCTCATGAGCTTCATGACCACAGAAAACATTTTCCTTGGCCTCAATCAGTATGATTTACTTTCAAATAGTCGAATGTTAGCCATCAAAGAGTTCATCGTCGAGCGAAGGAGGTGGAGAAGGGACCAGTGGTAATACTATTGTAGAAGAGGGCGGATTCCTGTGTAAATGGTGGCTGCCCTCTATTCTGTGGGAGAGAAGTATGAGGAGGAGGAGGAGGAGGCAGGGAAGAAGGTGGTGCCAGACAGGAGCAGCAGCAGGAAGAGGAGACAGTAGAGGAAGAGACCAGAGAGAAGGAAAATATGAGGCAAGAGGGGGAAGCGAAAGAGGAGAAGGAGGAGAGGGATAAGGAGAAAAAATAAAAAAGGAAACAGCAAAGACAAAGAAAAAGATAGCACTAAAGAATGTCCTATCGCCTCCAAAAATGTGAGTTGAGTCAAGAAACTGCTTTTCCTTTAGTAAGCCTTATTTCCCAGGTGCCTGTTATACTGTTAAAATCTTACCACCTTGAGTGTAATTGTAATTTTAAAGACGCATTTAACAATTATTAAACAGCATTAATCTTATCTTCAGAACAAGATTGAACACTCCTCTAGAGTCAGGGGAATGGAAAAGATCTGTAGTTTATCATTCTTATGGCCAAACCATAGTAGGATTTCAATCACTAGTCTATGAAAGCATCTTGTCTACTATTGATAGAAGGTTCTAAGGGAGAACAGAACATATGTAGCTTTGGGGGATTTTATACACCTTTAACTTGCTTTTTCCTGCAATTGTGGAACCAGGTTCAGTAAGGAGAACAAGGACAACATTGACCCTTACTTGTACCTGCCCTTTGGAACTGGCCCCCGAAATTGCATCGGCATGAGGTTCGCTCTCATGAACATGAAGCTTGCTATCATCAGAATTCTTCAGGAGTTCTCCGTCAAACCTTGTAAAGAAACACAGGTCAGACAGTACATTCTTTGCAATAATAAGGTTTTATTGGGAGTGTTCTAAACTGAGGGATCTCTATACAAAATAAGTACTCAGTCATATTTTTAATGTTTCCTTTTTTATTCATGATTTGATAAGTTGATATGTTGACCAAAGGATGTATCTGAAGCCATCTATAAACTTCCATGGTATTTCTGCTCTAGAGTTCAAAGTGTGAGGGCTTATAGAGGCCACACTATACAGATCATATAGAGTCAATATCGTATCGATATTGGAGGATGACATACAGTCTATTGGAAGTTTTAAAACAGCAAAATGTTAAACTCTTAAGTCAACTGGGAAGATGGAGATGCATTGTAGCACAGGGACTCCGTCACTTTTGAATGATGCTCTCCTCCAGCAGAATTTTCAGAATGTCCGTTGTGTTTTTAACCACTACCTGTATATTGAAACCTCAGGGTTTTTTAAACTCTGAGTGTTAGGGCAAATTGAGAAATGGAATCATTTTATTCATTTGTGGCTTTAAAAGCTCAGTCATTAATTCTCAGGGTTTTTTAAAACTCTGGGTGTTTGGGCAAATTGAGAAATGGAATCATTTTATTCATTTGTGGCTTTAAAAGCTCAGTCATTAATTCTCAGGGTTTTTTAAAACTCTGGGTGTTTGGGCAAATTGAGAAATGGAATCATTTTATTCATTTGTGGCTTTAAAAGCTCAGCCATTAATTCTCCTGCATGGTTAACGTCAAGGGAGTATTAATTCAAAGATTTTCTGCTAGATGTGGAATTCTTCCGTAATTACCAGGGCTATCCTGGTAACTTCATTACGTATTTCAGGATCTCTGCTTTTGACAGGGTGGGTGGGCTCTTTTGAACACCTAAGAATAACACTGCAAAACAAAATTTGGGATGGCTTCATTTTATTTGTGTGTTTGAGAAAGCTACATAGCAGTTCTATAGGCATGTACATACCAGGACTTTATACCTGAGAGCAAGCAAACACCCTGCACACCTGAAATTGGCATAACCCTTCAAGGAAACCTCTCTTTGAAGGCTCAGTGCAACTTTCTTTCCACCAGAATTTGTTTGCCCTTCATTCAACTCAGATAAAAATTTACAATGTTGGTTGTGGCAACACTGGAGTGGCAGTGCACCCAAGACTGCAACTACCTGTGATAATAATGTATATCATCAGCATTTTATCATTTACATTACCTTTGGAAGCCACGAGGAGATGTTAGAACACAAAAGTATAATGCTCCCAAAGAACTCTTCATCACTCAACACATTTCAGGAGGAGGCGTGTCTGAGCTCTCTGGAAGTCAGGGACCACCCATACAATTAAGAGTGTATGAGAGCTACTTCTAATGACCTCACAAGTTTCAGCATACAGAAAACCAACTTTACACGGCTTTGCAAAAGTAGCTTGAAATAATGCATATGATTATAATATAGACTTATAAAGTCTTTCAGTTTCACTCATCAGTTAAATGAAAAAACACAAATCCACTCGGTTTGGACTGTAAATATTTAGCTGAATAAATGGATGGTTGGATACTTTCACCTTCCACCCTTGGCACAACTGATAGAGTGGTGTAAAAAAAAGACAGGCGCATGATGGCAAGAATCGTGTTTGTATGTCTGCAGAGTAGACATACTCTACGTTTGTTGTTGCCGATGCTTCCGTTATTGGTTCTCAAGATGCCTGTTTCACTCTTGCAGATCCCCTTAAAAATAGGCAAGGATGCACTTCTAACACCGGAAGTGCCCGTTGTTGTGAAGTTTGAGTCAAGAGATGGAACTGTAAGCGGTGCCTGAGATCTTCATCTTCATTCTCACGGAAGCAGCTTCCCAGCGATGACAGACCTTCCCGGACTCCGTGAATCTCCCCAGAAAGGAAGACGGCAGAATCAGCTGCACTTGATTACCACCATCAGGGATTCCATAAACGCATTTAGCTTTCTTAGTGTCCACACAAAATAGCACATAAAGTATAATATGTAATATTAAAATGGAGATTAAACTGGCACCAGATGTCAAAATTCAGTTTATTTTGTTCTTATATATTTATATCTGTGTGTCTGCCCACCCAACTACAGACCTATCAGGTATAGTTATTATCTTTCCATCATCTGTTTGTTGTCCATTTGCTTGAGTTGCTCCAGGGAGTCCAGAGCCCTTGTATTTGAATCTTTCTAACGCAGGCATTGATATATGAGAGAGCTCTCAGAGGATCGGTTTCCTCTGTTTGCAACCTCATAAGCGACCCCAAGCAATCACTGTCCACCGAGGCCCAGCCAAGCCCAGTCTTAGGCGCAAAATAAAGGAACATTAGAACCCGGTGCTTTTGGATAGCCTGTTTGGCCACAATAGACAACTGGAACCTCTCTCTCCCTGCAGGTAGGGTCAGGTGCACAGAGTGCAGAAGAGGTGAGAAGTGGGGGGAGTGGAGGAAGCAGTGGGATTCCACGAATCAATGAAAGTGGCATTAGGCTGTGCCTTAATCAAGACAATAGAATCCTCGGGTCTGAGCAGTCACCAGCGGACATGGGTTCTTTACTGGGAGAACAATGGGAAGGTGAAGGGAACTGGCAGCTTAAAGTATCCGTGATCGGCAGCATTCCCTTGGCATCACCGTTTGTGTCCCCAGCATTCTTTTAAGGAGGGAAACCCCGTGACTGTAGGCTGTAGCAGCTAACTTACCAGCAAGCCTCTCCTTCAGGTTTCATGCCCTTGTGTAGTCTCTCTGCACATGACTCGGGCTGCCCGAGTATATTGTGGCAAGGGTGACGTGTGACTTCTTAGACCGAGTCACCGAAGACATTGTCTCATTCACCTTGCTCTCTCTGGGATTCAAGGTGAGGAACCCGACTGCCGTTTCGCCATGACCCTCATATCATATAGCCCCACGACGAGAATCGAGTCGTATTTTGCCAGCCGTATGACCTGCCTTCCTCCTTTGAAGGGGCACCCCAGGCAAGCCACCAAGCCGATTGAATCCCAGACAAGAACTTGACTACACCCTCCGAAGAAACCCTCACGTTAGAACGATCTCATGACACAAAGATACTGACTTTGGCTGGGTCCCCCGCACATCAACTCTGCAGGACAGGGCAGAGTTCTTCCGTAGGCTTCCCAAGCCTGAACGGCTTGACAGACACACCTTCCTTTCTTAGAACAACCGATGGATTGTGAGGGCTGGCCTTTCAGTGAGCATAAATACTTAAAGCGCTGCACCACCAGGCCTCCCTTCACCCAGCTAAGCCACATCTAGGACTCCTGACCCACATACATCCAGATGACTGAAGTCATTCAGCTTTAGGATAACTGGTGACCAAGAAATAGAGATGTCATGCAGTGGCAGAAGTGCAGAAGGGTCACCTGGAATGGCTACAGCTGAGAGCTCCGGAGGCTTCGCTGGGTTACGGATGTGCGCTGGACTTGCTGGTCAAGACAGCGCTTGGTGTTGGTCATATGTGAACATGTGTACGTGGACAGGGACTTCTTTTTAAGGGTTATACCCATCCCATTGGGTATAACTTACTAAAATAGTCTTAGGGTGTGATGAGGCCAGGAACCCCTCAGCGCTCTCAGGGTTTCGCATTCCCTATGAGTCTGTGTGGCTCCCTGTGACAGGAAGGTCCTTAGAGATGCCCCAAATCACGCAGTTCCACTAAAAGCGTAGGGATTAATGCAACATGATAATCTGGGGGTGTTTGAAGATTTAGCAGAGGTCATAAAATGTGCGTATCTCAATCTCTTTGGAATGGAATTCAATATCTTCATATTTGGGTGCTCACTCTCTGCCATCCTTGTTTTCAAAGCATTTTCTTGCTACTTGAGCCCTTGGCATCAGCTCCTTATTTTTTCCCC